CTTCAAAATTGTATTGCTGGTAATAATTTTTTAAATAAAGTATTGCTTGTAATAGTTAACTATTTGGGAGGATCCTAACAGGTGGTAGCAACCTGAGTCATGGTGGACCTGGTTTCACGCTCCTCAAGACCTCCTGGTCAGTGGCCTTTCTGCTGGATGTAGTTTAACGTCTTACCCAGGACGAAGGTGCAATTTGGGAATTACTTCTTTATGAACAGTTTAATACGTCTTACTAAGTTATCCTCTGGTTCAAACTTTTCTGGCTTTCCATCTATTTCTGGTCAATTTCATTTAAATGTTAAACCTGCTTTCATTTCTTTTATTTTAATCTAAATATAACCCCTCATATCCGGACATTGTTACCAATTCCTCATATCCGGAAGGCCTTCTTAGTCCGGCTGTTTAGGGATTCTATTCTAGAAATAAAAATACATTTTAATTAACGATATCTCAAGATTATTATTATTCTTTTCCTTTTTCCATATTTGGTCTAAACACTGATTATGAAAATCTTAATAAATAGCGAGGGTAGATGGGCGTGAAGCATTCTTCGGAAGAACGCAGAAAATGAAAAAAAAGAATGGTTCTATGGAGGAGGTACGAAACGGGAGTCAAGTAACAGGAAGAAATGAAAAGAAAGGAGGGGGGTGCCATATGAGATTATAAAAAGGAATTGAAAAATATAGATGAAATGTAAGATAAAAAGAAAAAGAATAAATGATAAAATTAGAATTAAGAAAACCGTTAAGAAAGAATGAAGAATGTAAAGAAAGATAAAAAAAAATAACATTAAAAGAACAGGGAATGATGGCAAAGTTAATATTAGCTGTTTCCTTATAAAGAAACATTCACCACTCATTGACCGAGCAGCCAGTGCCACTGTCGTTTGAAACATATAACAACTTTCTCTTAAAAGTATTTTTCAAATTATTTACATTATTAGGACTGTTATCCTCATCTTCATTGTCATATTCACAACATTTCGGCTGTTGTACGCTCCGGTCTTCTTCAGGTGATTGGATCTATGAGATGAGGTATTATGATTCCTTGCATTATTTACATTATTCGGACTGTTATCCTCATTTCATTGCCATATTCACAACGTCTCGGCCGTTGTATGCTTCGGTTGATTGGATCACTGAGATGAGGTATTATGATTCCTTGCATTATTTACATTATTCAGACTGTTATCCTCATCTTCAATGCCATATTCCCAACGTTTCGACCGTTGTACGCTCCGGCCTTCTTCAAGTGAGTGTAATTTCTAACTGAACGCTTTATTTCGTCCACCGGGGAAAAACCGTTGGTTAGATCCAGTGACTAGACTTAAAGGGTTGTGAGTTCAGTACCAGACCACAGCATTGATGAACCAAAAATTAGAGATTTGAGTTAAAAGGAAATAACTGAGACATCCGGAAGCGGCATGGCATGTGGAACTAGAGTAATCTACCACGGTGGACAAAATACAAAGTTCGGTTCGAAATTCCAATTACGTGAAGAAGGACGAGGCTTACAACGGATGAAACGCGAATATGGTAATGAAAATGAGGATAACAGTCCGAATAATGGAAATAATGTAAGCCGTCATAATACCTCATCACAGAGATACAAACATAAATTATTTTTCAGGAAAATAGATTTCTCAAGCGCAGTAACCTTTATAGCCTTTTCTATTATGGTTGGGGGTTTCCTTCCTAACCTTTTGTTTGATGTAAAGGGGAACAACAACATCTTGAATATATCATTATGTTTTCTTTAAGTCACGTCTAATATCCATTTTATTTGCTGCTCATAGAACTATAGCTGAAAAAAGCTGTCAATATCTCTTGAGTAAGTCAGTTTTCTTTTTTGCTTCAAAT